GAATTTAATGTTCTAGCTGCTACACATTTCACTGTAAATTGGTTACAAGAATTTGGTGTTCAATCAAGGTAATATCTTGTACCTGATAAAGTTAAGCATTCTCACTACCTGTTTGCTGGATAATGTATAGATATTACAGGGAGAAGTTACATGTTAATCACTTCTAAGAGTTAAAGGGTTAAGTTTGATCATCCCAAGATTCTCAATCATTAAAGCTGCTTGGGTTAAGATCACTCCTTCTGAAAGGGAGACTAGTTCACACCAGGTAACCCTTTCATTTTTAATCCCCTCTTTCAGATTGATCAGCAATCCCCATTAGTACACCTGTCTTCCCTGAAGACACACACCATAATGAAGTAGCTAGGGCTCCAACCTTAACTTCCAATCTGATACTCACCCACTCATCATCCTCAGCACCATCTCCTTCATCTTGTGGAACATCTTGCTGTCCTTTGAAAGACATCACCTTGTCTGTCCAGGAGCTGCCTGCTCCTTCACCTCCAGTGTAATTTGCAGCTGTTGCGCTACCTGCATTGTCAAGTTTGACTATAAACTCTGTCACGAGGAAGGAGAATTGAGAATACTTTCATTTCTGTCATAAGTAACATTGTCATATTGTAAACCAATTTGGTTTGGTTATAAAAGACTTGGTGTGACAATGCTGAAAGGAAAAAAACAAAAAAAAGGGGACATTGCTAAGGATAAGCTTTATACCATTTCTAAAGTATTTGTGGGTCTAATTTCTGATTGTGAACTTCAAGGTCACTATATACAGCTTTTTTTCAGTTGTCTTAAATTCTTAATTGATCTTCAGTTTGGTTGCACTGAATACATACAAAATGACAGTGATCTAAATTTTAAAGCATTAGACGATCCTTTGCCCAAATTGTGCAAAACAGCAGATACAAAAGTCAGGAGTTCATTGAGAGCTTTATGATGAACTGAGAAACTGGATTAAGTCTTGAGAATAAAATTATTAGGCAACTTCAGGTTTATTAAAAACATGACAGTAGTGTGCCTCTTGCTTCTAGTGTTTCATTACTTTGTACTGTAATTTGCTTTACATATGTTACATTTATCATGTTAATACTTAGTTTGGGTTTTGACTGACAGCCATGTATGTTGCTGTGGGCCACATGCACCCAGATTAGGTGAGTTTGGAGAAGTTTTTTGGCAAGTTTGTATTGAAAAATAAAATTTTTTTGGTGAAGACAAGTGTAACTTGCAGACCAGTGAGTGATTTATTGTTGTGGGAGCAACAATAGTCAAAAAGACAAACCCAAACATAATCCATTCTGCAAATAATGTAAAATAGTGAGATTACCGATGAATGGACCTTCTCCTCTAGTCTTTAATCTGACGGGATCCCCTTGAAGTAGTTCCATTTTCTCAATGTCTTCCTCTGCACACCAGAATGCTTGACTGATCACATTTCCAGTCTCTGGAAGTTTGTTTTCAGTCAGTCTGGTCAACTCTGTCACTGTTATCATTCTTTTTGCCTCAGCTGCATCAATTTTATCAGAATCTGTGGAAGCAGATGTCTCTGGAAAAAAAATTTCTCAAATTTAGAAAAATAAATTGTTTTAGAATCAAAGTAAGGAGGGAAGACTGTGGACTAATTTCTGATGAAAACAACTGCAGGTTAACCAGCTTTTCAAGAAGTCTGGAGAGCACTCAAGGGAAGTTGTAAGTTATGCCTCAATCAACTCTTACACTTCTCTTGTGCTCTCCAAACCTCCCAAGTGCATCCATACCTCAATACACACACAGTGAGCATGAACCAATTCCTATGTGCAATATTGCATACCACAGAATCATTCCTGATCACAATACAAAAATTATCGATAGCGTCTTTGGATGAGGAGACAAACAACTGTACAAACCTCTAACTGTGTAGCTACAATAAACAAAACAGTTCTATTAAAAATAAAAAAAAAACTTACTGTAAGAAGACATTAGATAACCAGTGCTAACTTTCTTGTCCTTTCCATAGTTAGGGTCAATTTCCTTCCCGCTGAGGGAATCAAACTTCCTCTTCAGGGCTTTTGAGATCTCTATATGTAGCACTACATAGCGCCACTATATCGCAAATAAAAAGTTAGTTCATTGTGAAAATATATCGAATGCATTATTGGTAACCAATGGCTGAAGCAGAAATCAAAATTAAACATTAACAAAACGATACGATGATTAAATAGAAAATACCTTCTGAGAACCCGAGAAGGGATCTGATACGGTAAATCTTAGTCGGCCATATACCTTACCCTCTACTATAATGCCGCCAGTCCTTTTATAGAGAGACAGAAGGGAAAGTTATTATGAGTAAATCCAAACAACCACTGAAAGAGTGCCATGCTATGCATTATATGTCGCTGAGTTGGTGGAATGTTGCAATCTTTAAATTAAACAAACCTTTGCCAGCGAAATAACTCTTCCGGTTCCCAACGTTTTTCCCATCTAATTGGAGTAACAGGAATCGATTCCAACGGTCTGTTGTCGTAGAGCATATGTGCACGAGTCATTCTAATGTTGGAAATTTCTAATGCAATATAAATTTCAAGGTCAATTTTCCACAGGCGTTCAACTTCCTCACGAGAGCCTGGAAAAATGTTCATTTGACGTCCGTCACGCCAGACCCTCCACGAAGGTCACGCAAAGGGAAAACACCGGTATGGTGTAGGAATCAACATGGTCAACAAACTTTAATCAGGGGGGTAAGTTTCCCAAGAAACTGTAATGCATCACTGGGGAAGTATATCAAGATAATTTGGCTATATGAACTGAGCTGATGACGTAAATTGGCCACTGGAAAGAGTTTATAATTAGGGTGATTTTTAGAGCCCATCGCCAGAGCGAATGAAGAAGGGCTTACGTTCGAGATGTCAGCCTTTGCAGAAACTCGTTACGAAGGCCATTAATTAATGGCCAATTTACATTATCAACTCAGTAAATAAAAACTTTAAAAAAATTTAAAAATTAAAAACTTTTAATCAAAAACAAATTTTGATTGGTTTTTACATGAGATCTATCAGATGACGTCACCACCGAAACCTTTTTTTTTTTCTTTTTTATACCGTAGATATTTAGCAAGAAGACCATATGTTGCTGGGCGTCTATTCAGAGTGATAAATCACAGTTGACGTCAAAATGTGGTCAGTCACGCACTTGTCACGCACTCGGCTGCGAAAATGTTTTTAGACTTCTGGCAACCAATGGTCAACCGCGGGAGGTCAAGTAGATACAGAAATGCTCGATATCGGCATTGGAATGACGAGACTACACTGCACGAGGCACTGTCAGTTTGCGGAACAAGCGTAACTTCTACGATCTGTTATCACTGTTGTTCCTGTAATAAAGGAGTGCACTCTCGTGTAACACGAGTACAAAGTTGTAACACGAATGCAAATTACAAAAAGCGCGCGTGCGCTGCCAAAATTTCGTCTGTCCTGGACTATCTGTGCTGTTTTTCATGTAAATTATTAAAAGATACAAACATGATTGCGAGTGCAATTTAGTGTAATAAACACTAGTAAATTTTTCAAATTTATAAATAGCGCGCGCGCTGCCAATATGTCGTCTGTCTTCATTTTCTAAGATGTTTTTTCATGCAAATTTTTATCAAGTAATAACATGAGTTCGAGTGCGATTTCTCTGTCTCCTGAAGGAGAAACAGCTCTCCTCTTTATGTAGACTGAGGAACTTACGAAGCCCCAAACCACACACGCCGTCAAAAAGCGTATTTTTAGATAGCAAATAGAGAAGCTTGACTGCGAGATGTTCATCAATAAAGCCAATTTCTCAATTTATTACAAACAGGTCACAAAAATAATTATACATTCCTTTCAAGAAGAAGCTTAAAATAATAACGAGACAGAAGAATAAATTATACATTAAATAGGATCTCTCTCCCCCCCCCCTTAAATACGATCCCTTGTCCTAACTCATATGTATTGAAAGTAATAAACTTGGAGCATGAAGGAAGCGCATTCCCAAAATTAATAATTTTAATAGTTCAGTATGATTACCCGTATCTCAGCTTTACTATTGGCTAAAAAAAGTGCAGTTTTTTCGCTACATAGCTGGTACTTATTTAATAATAATTTAACATATGCATATTTAGGCCAACAGTTTACTGGCACAACAAGCTTGACCACAGTATCCATTTCTTTACTGAGTACCTTTGACAAAACAAATTGTTTAAACTTCATCCAGGAATATCCCTTAGTGAGTCGTCGACCATTAATAACGATAAGATTATACAAACTCTTTATCCCATTTGCGGGATTTAACTAAAAATCATAATGTCTTCATTAACTGATCCTTCCTAAAATTAGTAGCAACATATATAACCTGTCAATCAATAAGAAACATTATTTTCAATTGTTTCGGGTCCTAAAGTACGCGAGGTTTGTCTGATGTTGAATAAAAACAACTCCCCGACTTACCAAACTTGCCTTTACCAAACATCAAAATGTCTCTTTCATTCAAAAAGAATTTAAGTAAAAAGCTTCGATCTTATGTCAAATTCCTTAATATGATCACGTACTTTAGGGCCGTCAAGCATTAGAATAATTATCTTTTAATTGTTGTATGAAATTGTCCATAAATTAAATACCATTTCATTCAATAAAAAACAATTCCAAGATGCAATTGTCAAAATATTGCCCATGAACTCGAGCGATTATAAATTTGTGCTCAGTTATTTTAAATTTTTACTCGAGAGTACAAAATTATTTTCAAACTAAGTTTAGCTTATCTCTCAGCAAAGTAAGAAAATATTCATCTTAATTTTTGCGTTAAAAAAGATATTTTCAAATAAATGATTCCGTTAACAGCTGTATACAAAAATATACACTCTATGAGAAACCCCATATGGTTTCTACGTTTTGTACGATGCATAAATTATTGTGAAAATTTCCAAATAATTCTTCAAAAAAAAAAGTGCGAATTATTGACTGAAGACGCCAAAATTAAAAAAAAATTAAAAATTACATAGTTTCTTTCAGAAATAGTATCGATCTGCGGCCTGAAAGAAAAACGCAGCGTGTCTCTTACTCGGCGACAAATATTTGCGTAAATCATTAAAACAAAAAGACATTTTGTGGTTTGATTCAATTTCACTAAATTCAGAACAAACGCACTTAAAATGTTGAAAACTTTACTTTTAGCAAAATAAAGCGAAAGTGTTTCATTGCGTTATATTTAACAATGCACATTAATTCCGTCAACTACGTGACTACTAAATGGCATAAAATACCAAATTCATTTCTCTATATCGCCAAAAGCGTGTTCAGTTGATAAGCACCTCTTGACGAATAAAAGGTCAATTTTTTAATGGTTCACTGGTTTTTAAAATCCAGTTATTTTCACTTTTTCCTCTTTCACTCACGAACGCCTCACCTCTCTATTTCTCTCCCCTTAGGATCGTTGGATCTAATATTCCACGATAATAAATTAGTGAAATGATAACACTTTAAGATACCAAACCGAAAAAATTAGCCATCGTAAACATTTCTTAACATAATTTTAAGAGAATCTCGTCAAAATAATTCTAAATGATTGAAAGGGTCATAAACGCGGTTTGACCTCATTTTATGAATTAAATAGTCTTTAAACACACTAAATTTGTCAACTTAATAACCTTAAAATTCACTAGTATAGCATAACCCCTATCAAAACTACAGAGCGAAGGACTTCGATGTAAAAGCACCCACGTCTTCGAGATTGGGCTGTAGATTTCCGGCTCAAAATTTTATAAATTATTTCACTACCACAGGATTCCTCAAACTAGATTCGTGGCAAATTGACACTAGATATTAAGTTTCTCCGAGAAAATTTCATACTTCAGCTCAAAGATGGCTGCAGTACTTATACTAGAATCTTACTTACAATATTTACGAACAAATTAGCAACTTTGGTCACAGAAAAAATTGCTACACATACGTTGCGGTGATTTTCGCTTCTTTCGACCATTTCATGGCCCTGAAAATGTCTCTGAGCGCTGCAACAGTGGAAGTGTCTCTCTGGCCCCATTCCACAAGCATAGCCTCAGTTGCTGTTCTCCTATCCAAAGCAAAATTATTGATCTGGGTGCTGTTGAATTTGAGTCGTCCCCCCAACTGTTTCCATCTGTCTCCGGGATTTAAATATTGCGATAGATCCGTAATAAGGGTGTAAGGAGCGTCACGTAGCAATTTATCACCTGAATTGACAAAGAAATGAAAGTGGTATTACAATCAAGATAGTGAATTTGAAACCGACAAAGAAAGGCAATTCTCATGAAGACATAAAAAGGTCTCCTTTTACCACAAAATCCCACATGAAAAATTTCTTTGTGGCTCAAGATTGAATAAAATAAGCTCTCACGCCCTCTGGTTGGAGGAGAAGTAGAAGGGGACGATCTTAGAGTTAAGTGAAGAAAGGCTTACATCCGCGAAAAAAATACGAATGATTAAAAACAAAGCTGTATAAAAAAAAAGCAACAACGAATAAAAACAAACGATGCCACAAACCTTGTCGTCCCCCAATACAGGGTAAAGAGGTGTAAGGATTTTCTACAGCTCCTACGACTTCGATTGAGTTTGATCTCGTACTCTGTTCCTCGCAAGAATCTACTGAGATAAAACGCATATATAACCTTGATGACACGACTCTTTCACTTTACCAAAACGTTGAATAAACAATTGCGACCTTCAGTGCACTTCTCTACGCAGCCTAGACTACGAGCAGTCTCTCTCATTAGGCAAATTATGTAACGCAAGTAAAAAAAACTTAAATGGAACTTTCGGAAAACTAGTTGTGTGACTCACTCACAGAGTTCCGCGCGCCGCGCTAACATCAATAATTTTCCAATTATCCTTTTTATAAATTTTTTTTTTACTTTACACGACGGACTTCGCCGAAAAGTAGGAACTGCTCGTGGTTTAGCGCAGCGGGTTACCGATCTGTACCTCAAACATCGTTAAACAGCAAGAAAAGTTAATCATACCCGACTTGCCCCTGTTCTTTGGGCGTTTTCTGTTGCTCCGCCTCCTGCGCAAGACAAAAATGGCCACAACAATCATAACCAAAACCAGCAATGCGACCAGAGAGAACAAGATAGCCTGAAAGCTAGTTTCTTCCTCTTCCAAAGATTCATACTCTTTCTGCTTCCCCGTTACAGCCGTCGTAGACGATATAATCGCTGAAACAGAATTAGAAAGACGTGAGGATGGCGTCCAAGTTGCCTGAACCGCACCTTCTTCCCAGAGTCTCTCTTGTGTACCCACCCACTGAAACGTTTCAGGGGGGAGGGGGAGGAGAAAGGGAAGGGAGGGGACCCCAGTGACGAGGTTGTCCTTAGCCAGAGGGCACACAGTCACAAGGACTACCTTAAAGAAATTTTCACTACAATTTAGGGATTGCCTGTACCTTACGGTGTGCCTTTTCATCGTTCCATTTTAAAATGTCACACATTTCATTGATAATCTCTAAAACTTTCTTATATTTTGGCGGTAAAATCGCATTCTCGACCACTGATGATAAATTTTTTTCCTTAAGTAACTCCCATGAGTGATCAAGACAGAATTTCTCCTCACAATATCAATACAATATCATCCAGATAAGTGATGAGAATAAAGAAAAATATTAATTTGGGGATAATTAGTTGATCCAATACTAAATTCTCTGAACTAACATTATAAGAATTGAAAGAAATTCAGGCTTCGACGGGATTCAAACCCGTGCCTCCTCT